ATGACTTAGGAGTCAATCTTTCAGGTTTCCAGTTGAGAAATTCTCTTCTTTTCTTTTTTCGTGGTGGTTCTTCTGCTTTTTCATCAGAATCTGATAATGAATCATCAGAATCTGCTGTTGAATCATCGGAGTCAGTGTAAATTTCAGTATCATAATCGGAGTTTGAATCAGCTAAAATTTCTGAAATTTCTTTTTCATGCGAACTGTTTTTTCTTGCCATATTCAATGAACTTCAAACGTGAAACGCATAGTAATCAATATAAAAAAGTTAACTTCACTGCATCCTAAGTGTTTGGTACCGACTGAGTAATTTAGTATGAATTTGTGTTTTTCTAGATCATAGGCGTATTCAAAAAATCGATGAATCAATATCCCAACTATTCCTAGGTCAGAAAGAACGCGAATAGTTGGAAGACATTGTTTGCATCAGTATTTATAATAAAGAACAAATACATAAAAATCTATGATTCAAAAATTCATTCATTAGATAATTATCGAGAAGTTTTCTACAAATTCAGCAAATGCCGACAGCCAGGGATAAACTTGTTCGATTGTGTCAGAAATCGAACGCTAAGAATGAAATCCAGCTAACATCTAGCTTAGCAACTTTTTGTTATTTACGTTCTCAGAAAGTTAGTGCTTATTCATACTTGTATCAGATTTACCTCTACCTCGTAGAGATTAGACCATTTTTAATGAACGAACTTTGATGGATTTCACCTCATATACGAATCCAGACATAGAACTAAATGGTATAGGAGAAGATCGTGTTTGTATGGCACACTTGATAAAGTATTTCCTATGCAAGATACTGGTGTACTTGTCTATTCAGACAGTTGATAAAAGATATACCAGTAATTGAGAAACTCGGGAAACTGTTGTGCAACTGAGCACAAAAGGATTCAGTTTAAAGAGTATTATAAATATATTATTATCCGCTACATTCTGATTGGCTGCTTCGACTCATACAAGTTATTGGTTAACTGACTTTATGACTATCGAATGTGTCTATGCCACAATATATCATATTAAGTAATCTGTATCACTTTTCTTATTGCTCGTGTTTTGAGTACGCGCGTACACAGAGCTATTTATCATGCTTGTACCGGATCCGAAATACTTAGAACATGCCGAGAATTTTTTTAAAACTATTTGTTCTCTTAATGTCTATACACGTAACTTTTCAGGTGAGCGGTATGATACACCATACAATTCAACATGATCAATTTATAATCAAGCATATACCATTTTACATGATTTGTTTCTAATAAAATTCTAATTTTCAGCACATATCTGAAAATTCTAAAACGGGAGAAAACACACTAAAGTAAACAACATTTTCTGGCACGATAAGCAAAACTGAATGCAAATCAGTGGATTGGAATCAGTTGTTCAAGATGGAATGATATAATTTTTATTTGTTCATATCATTAGCAATGCGTAGGAATTAATCCTTTGTTGGCGGGCGTGGTATATATACCACCTCGAGTATTTTCTCAAAGTTGAGGAATGGTATATATTTCAAATCAATCAGAAGTGAATGGAAACAGCCTGCAGATTACTTTTCTGTATTGATAAATTAATCCTGTCAGCATTTCGAAGTACTAGAAAAAGCCGAATATAGTGCATTTAGTAATTTCAACAGTGTATAATGGAAATTTCTTTCTTTTATCATTATTTTTTATTGGAATCTTGCCTATACATTCCAGTGCGTCTGCTTTGGTATTTTTCTTTTTCTCCTGTATACAGAGATATATACATATGTATGGACACTTTCGTGCATATTCTTCACTTAGGCGCTACTTTCATTCTTTTGTTCGTTTACCATCGCCGTTCTTATACATACATCTTCTCAAGTGTTACACGAATAAATCGAATTTACACATATACAAGAACAAAAATTCGAACGTGAAACAAACGGGCGGATAATAATATATTTATAATACTCTTTAAACTGAATCCTTTTGTGCTCAGTTGCACAACAGTTTCCCGAGTTTCTCAATTACTGGTATATCTTTTATCAACTGTCTGAATAGACAAGTACACCAGTATCTTGCATAGGAAATACTTTATCAAGTGTGCCATACAAACACGATCTTCTCCTATACATTATATGTAATAACAACATCCAAGCAGATGTCTGATATTATACGAGTTGGTTTGAAAACCAGTTGTGTGAAACCGTTATAGTCAGATGCTAACGTTTTAACGGCTGAAATCAGCACTATAATCCGATTATTCTATTTCCATTTGAAAACTATCTCGGTTGATTTCCGCATCATCAAGTGCGAAGTAGAAGACGATTCTAATCCGCTATGTAAGTTTGATTTTTCCTTTTATTTTGGCTCTTATACAGTGTCTGTAGAAAGACTAAAAGCCGGGTGATTTGAAGAATCTCTTAGGTCAAACAGACTCGAAGTTTACACAATAACATCACGAGAAAGCCCTTCCCTTGTTCATTTAAACCATTAAAAAAGTAACGTTCCAAGTTACTTATACAGAAGTGAAATTTCTGATCGTGGTTCGGTGAATACAACAGATCATAAATGTCGATATTCGTCTATCTATGATGCAGATATTACGGAATCTTTTTCGTTTGATATTTGTCAGTTCTACTCAAGAATCTTTCATTAAACAGGATTGCAGCTGATACTACAAAAGTCGCGTATACACTGGTAGTAACTTCGTAAAATTATCCTGCAGGAAATTTTATTTCGAATAGTTTGCTACAGCTTATGAATTTCTTTTTAATATTACATGGCATCTTTGACTATATAGTACATTGAGTATATGGAATATCGTGATTAAATAGGAGCAAAAGAGTGAAATGAAACAAACAGGAATGGCAATCCAGTTCGATCTGAAACATCATCATACTTGACTTCATGTCCAGACGTATTACGCTAAATTCTGAGAAAGTTACTATTTTCAGATGGAGGAAGAGGGTGCCATCAAAGCTGGTACAAGTGATCAACGACATTATTTACTGATGTGTATTCAAAGCTAATTTGAGAAAGATTTAAAAAATATTAAATCGCATCAGCATAGGATGAACTAAGTTATAGTTGACAGATGAGTTAGCAATAATAATAAAAAAGCAAAATGCCTGCGTAGTATATTATGAGAATGGACTGAAATATATACACACTCATACATGTAAGAACGATCTATTTCTTTTTTAGCTGTTTTAAGTTTGAATTTCGCTCATAATGGTGCCATCACTATTTTTATTCGTAAACAGTTGATTAAGATGAAGTAGACCATGCTTAATGGCAACATGAACACTAAAGTATGTCTTTATTATTTGTGCACATTAGATTACGCATTAATGATCAAAAACTGTTATTTAGCGTTGTTGTCGTTAATCTCTCTGTATTTTCTTCTTCGGATGATGGTTACTAGGCATACCAGTACGATTATTAGACCAACTACAGAAATAAGAATAATGCCTAAATTCAGTCCAAAAATGCCATGTTTTGCTGATGTCCGCAATGACCGGTCTTGATTAACTTGAAGAAAGAGGTCGGTTTAAGTATTCGTGATTATTACTATACATGCAAAACGCGTAACTCTGCTACCGGAATCTCTGTGCGTTACTGTTTTTTCTCTTTTCATCTATCGTATAACATTCGGAAAGAATATCGTAGAATCCTGAAAAGCGTCTTGTTTTGTAGAATGAAGTGCGTTCTCCAAAATCCACCACTAGCTCAATTCGAATTCGGTTACAATCGAAATACTAAAAGCTCTAAAAACAAACAACAATGTTTTGGGGGCTCTTCGTATTTTGAGTATAGCATAAAAAGCGTCGATTATTTTGAATTGAGCTAGTGGTGGATTTTGGAGAACGCACTTCATTCTACAAAACAAGACGCTTTCCAGGATTCTGCGATATTCTTTCCGAATATTATACGATAGATGAAAAGAGAAAAAACGGTAACGTACAGAGATTCCGGTAGCAGAGTTATGCGTTTTGCATGTATAGCCTAGTACTCACTTGAAGAAGCACTGTTACTATCACATGATCTGCTCTCATACGCTATTCCGCTACATATCGTTCCATTGCAAATACGGGTTCGGCTCTGTCGTTCAACACCATTTGTGCTATTACAACTATTCCAAGCGTCCCATGGTCCCCACTTTCCATCCACTACAAAACAAGAACAAAGTCAGTACTTCAAAGAAAAGTTGAAAACAAAGATTTTTACTAATTAAATCGCAAGCACTTGATGACAGAAAGCGTCTTGATACTATTTTCTTTGAAAAGTCTATTTTTAAACCCCGTCTTACCACAATCATTGTAAATAATTGAATACTTTCGTATACGATTCTCATTCCCTTCACAAAGGAACATATTTCCGTATGTATCGAAAGATATTGCGTAGATACCGCTTGGATCTCCATTAACCACTGTGATAGGTGTGCTCGAGTGCGGACTCCACTTCTGCACTATTGAGTTGCAGCTGTCTACTGTATAGACATTGCCGTCCATATCAACGGCAAAGTCGTTCAAACATTTGATACCGCCTGCAACAGTGGCAGCGTTTATATGGTCTGGCCTCCATTTCTGAACACGGTAGTTTTGTTCATCATTTACGTATATGTTGTGCGTTCCGTCAACGTAAAGCTCTCGGGGACCGTCAAATTGAATCAGTGCCTTGCCTCTTCCTTTTCCCCCAGCCATAAGTATTCCTTTCGTAGATCCTGGTGACCATTTTAGTATTTCATTTTTATCATAGTCTGATATATACAGATTTCCATCCATATCCCCACACAATCCACCGATAGCAATACCTTCGTTTATGACAAGCGTACCATTATTACCTAATCCTCTTCTCCATTTGACAATGCTATTATTGTTTTCATCATGTCCGTAATCGAGAGCATAAACACTTTCTTCGCTATCCACGAATATTTTCGTTGGATATGGTATTCCAACTAAAGGCCGAGCCATAGATCCTACGGTCGCCCCTTTCGTAGAACCAGGTGGCCATTTTTGTATTCGATGATTTAATGAATCAGCGACGAACATATTGTTGTATTCATCAATAAATATATCATATGGAGTATCGAACTGGTCAGGTCCTGATCCTTTACCGTTTATGCCAGCAACAATCTCTCCTTTCGGACTCCATTTGGCTGATGGACAAATTTTTACATGTGCTAAATCACTGGGTGAGAAATAAGCTAAAACGAAACGAACGATAGGATGAGGAAAAATTCTTTTTCTAATAAAGCAACATCCATTAACTGTCAAGGTTATACTTTTCACTTGTATCCAATGTGAAAGAACATCAGAAATGTTTTGATCGTTCTCAATTGTGCAAGGATATTGGAAGAGTATGGAAAATTTGATTCAAACGTATAATTTAGTCTCCTCTAGGTGAGATAGTTGAAAACGAAAAGGAAGATAGAAATTAAAAAAATATGCCGTTTTTAAACGTGTTATTTGCTGAAATTCAAAATTTAAATTCTGATATCAAATTATATTTGTTTCTAAAAATTCTTTTGAAATGCAGATGAAGTAAAAATATTTCCAGTTGTTTGGAAATATTCGTCTTTTCAACTACCCATGAGAGCGTTTTAGATTTATCGTGATATATCGTTTTTTTATCCACTCGTTACCCATTTTCTACTATTTATCGAAAGGGAAAATTTATCGCGGCAGAAGTCTATATTTTATCGTGATATCTATCGATAAACATATCTTATTACAATTTGCTCTGATTTATCGTGATGAATTTTTCCTTTTTTTCCTTAAGGAAAAATTCATCTATTTATTAACTATTAACTCTATATATTAACTATTTATCGAAATTCGATAAATAGTAGAAAAGTGGATGATGGATGAATAACACAATGATTCATCGCGATAAAAAGCAATAAATGAAGTAGCATGACAAACGACTCTTTTATATTTTTTCGACTGTTTGTTAGAATAAAAGAATCATTGCAATCGAATTGCTTATTGATGATAATAAAGCTACTGTTCTTAACTTGATGGAGGCAATAAAGATGGCACGTCAGCAATTGGAAATGATTTATTAAAAATGCCAAATAGTCTTTCTGTTGTGTTCTTCGCTGTTCTTTATGTACAAATTTTCTATTGCGTGGCCTTTTTGTTTTATGGCTGTTCTAGTGCGTAACTTCTTTTACTTCTTTTTCAACGATAAATATACGGAAAAACTATAGTAAAATAACGAACATGAGCGGAGTGCTTTAATATTTTTGAACGGGAAAAGCTGCTATTATCTCTTAAAATATCATACGTACCATTAACGTGTGATTATCTTGATAGCCATTTGTCCTCATCATCTTCTTTATTATTACTTAAAACAAAACTATCGGAATAAGATATATCACCACCAAACTCCTTAAACCAATTAACGTTTGATCAGTCCAACGTTCACTATCATCAATGCCATTGTAATCACTATCGTTATTAGTATTAATATTCAAAACTTGAATTTAATCAGTATCTTATGTTTTCATCAAAACTTAAAAGACCTTTCATCTGGTGGTTAATTTCATGACAAAACAAAATTTCTCAAGGAATAGGTGTACAGTAGAAGATTGTAAAAAAATAACATGATGATTGGAGTAATTAATGAGCTAGGAGGACAGAGAGGAGAACTAAAGAATGATTTTTTTCTAATATATTTTTTATTAATTGTATATAACACTTGTCTATCATTATGGATAAATATATGATATCCTAATCTCTATCAACCTATAATAGATTGTGCATTTTTTTACTATCTCTTCGTTTGCTTTTCTTTCTTATTTGTGGTCTGATGTACTATATATACTAGAATAGGTACAGTTAATTACAGTTATTTAGTCAGTTTTCACGGATATTTTAATATTGAGTGTAAACGTCACTATTTTGTTGATAAAGTAAAGTTACAAATGCATAAGATAAATTGACAGAACTTACGTCCGTGAAGAGAGATGTAACAAATTAATCACATAGGCGACATCAGTTGTAAATACAAATGTTATTTGTTGTTATACGAATGTATGCGTGATATTTTCTTAAACTTTAACATCGATTTTTTTGTTAGCCTTCTTAGATGATGTCTAATACAAATGAAAGGTCTTTAAGTTTGGATGAAAACATGAGATATTGATTAAATTCAAGTTTTGGATATTAATACTGGTAATGATAGTGATTACAATGAGACTGATGATAGTAGCCGTTGGACTGATCAAATAGTTAATCGGTTGTAGGAGTTTGATGATGATATATCTTATTCGCATAGTTTGTTTTAAGTAATAATAAAGAAGACGATAATGTATTAGATGAGGACGAATGACTATCAAGATGATCTTATCACATTCTATAGTATTTTTTTTTATCAATCAATAACTCGTAGAATTTCCTACAAATAACCCCTTGAAAAGTTTTTGATTTCATACTTCATTTATTTTTGCAACGTTTCTACAACTGATCTAAAGATAAAGAATTAAGAAATTTCGTTTGGGTTCAATGAGTGTAAGATCGAGACGATATATGAATGAATGATTTATAGAATTAGAATTATTTTCTATTCAATATAAATCATATTCTAAGACATATCTGTCCGAAAAGCAGAAAAAAGAACGGAAGGAAATTAGAGAAAAATTATCGGGGTTTAGGTCTCTTGCCTGGTATATATCGTTCAAACAAGAAGACCGCACAAAAGCCTCATAGTAGAGGATGAATTGCATCCGAAGGATCAATATTTTGCTGAAAAGAGTTGTTTCGGTGTTCGCATTTTAGGCTTTTGGAATGAAACAACGGTCAGTCTAGCGTTGCTTGATTGTAGCGTCGAGCAAAATCATCTCTTCAGATGATAAGGCTAGATGGCCTTAGTGACAAACAAACTGGTACATATCCACAATTCGTCAAAAAAAAAGTTAGTCTTTTAAGATTTTTCATAACTTGTAGGAACCTCATGGAAGTCCAAATCCACATTGACTCTGGCGGCAGACACTTTGGGCTATGTAACAATGTTCACAGCTCAGTATTCATCTTTTTTGAAAATAAATTATCATTTCTGAGGAAAGGATTTTAAAGCGCTATTTATTAACGATTCTTTGATGCTTACCGTGTATTAAAATAACGTAAAGTAGAATGAACTTCGTTACCATAATTCCCGTATATTCTCTTTATCCGTTTTATCTAGCAATGTAACAATAATGAATAGGCAGTTTCGACTATTTATATGTTCGACAATTTATTTGAAGAAACGATGCAGAATGTCCGAATATATTATGTAGCATATATCTTTCGAAGGAAAGAAGAATACGAGGTTATTGTTAGTTTATCTAACAACAGACTCTGCAATTTTCTATCGTGATTTCAAACGCCTATCAAATTTTTGGTACATTGATTTTTAACTTTTACATTGGAAACACATCTGCTGATCGGTTTTTAACGCATTTTTTAATTATCATTTAAAAGTTCAACAGATGATATATTCTCATAAATCATTTTTAATTCTTTGTATTAGTCACAGTAAATCAATCAACAATACATTATTCTCATCTGGCACGTTTCCGATGATGATAATTTGATGTTTATTATACGGGTTATCTTATTTTTACTTTAGAAAAAGAATGAAACCCCACTTTCTGTTCAGCTTTTAGACTATGAAAAATAATCCCAAAAACACAAATGTTTCGTATAGCGTTTAGGAAGCCGCCCAAGCAAGACTAAGTAAGCGAGAAAATCTAGCTGCAGCGCCCGCTTACAGCTAGCTTTATATAGACTAAAAGGTACATTTATCTAGCTGCATGCTGATTGAAATTGTGTACTAGCTGAAACGGCCAATTAATTGAATGGCCCGATTAATCTATAGCAATTAGTTGGACCCCAGTAAAGCTAGAGCTACCCAGGTGATTTTTCTGCAACATAAATCTGGAAAAATCTTTGCAGTAACTTTGCAGATTCTGCAAAGGGATTCTGCAGATTTGAAGCAGATCTGCATTGCAGATGTGCCAAGATTTGACCAA